TTCCACTCATTGAGGATCTATTTGACAAGCTTGGGTAGGCACAACACTTCTCCAAACTAGATCATCTATCTGGGTATCATCAGATCCAAGTTCATGGGCCAGATATACACAAAACAACCTTTAGGACTGCAGATGGACACTGAGAATTTATGGTTATGCCATTAGGATTAACAATGCTCTATTGACATTTCAAAGCCTCATGAATAACATATTTAGGCCCTATTTATGTAAATATATTCTGTTATTCTTTGATGATATCCTTATCTATAGTGCAAATTGGACTTTTCATATGAAGGATCTTTGCAGCACCTTAGACATCTTAAGGCATAACCAACTCTTTGCTAAGCTGTTGAAGTGTTCTTTTGGGCGAACCAAAATATACTACCTTGGTCATATTATCTTTGAAGGGAGGGTCCAGACAGATCCAGAGAAAGTGGCATGCATGCTTAATTTGGCTTATCCGTCCACACTCAAGGGTATCAGAGGATTTCTGGGCCTAATTGGATACTACCGCCAATTCATACAAGGGTATGAAGTCATAGCTGAACCCCTGACTTCGCTGCTCAAGAAAACTCCTTCCATTGGGATGGAAGAGCCGAACAAGCTTTCTTGGATCTTAAGAAGGCTGTCATAACACTACTGCCCTTGATTCTACCAGATTTCAACAAGGATTTCTCAGTTGAGTGCGATGCTTCTGGTAAGGGTATTAGTGCAGTACTCATGCAGCTAAGGCCTGCCCATAGATTATTTTAGCAAGGTACTTCCCTTTGTAGGCCCAGCAAAATCCACATATGAAAAAGAGCTAATGGACTTCGTACTTGCAATTCAGAAATGGAGGGCGTATCTTATTAGGCAAAGATTTACTGTTCAGAATGATCACAAGAGCCTCAGACATCTCTTGGAGAAGCATGTTCTCAGCCCAAAACAGCAAAAGTGGGCTTCAAAGTTATTGGGTTATGATTTTATTATTAATTATAAGGCAGGAAGGCAAAACACAATGGCCAATGCTCTCTCAAGGGCAGAAGAGCTCAGGTCCATGGTTGTCTCCAAGCCTGTCTACTCTCTATTGAACCAGCTTAAGGAAGAAGCCCAACAAGATCCGGAGTTACTGCAAATTAGGAAAAATGCTTATACAATCCAGCAGTAGTTTCAGGTTACATTCTAATCGACTCTGACATTCTACAAGGGGAAACTGTTGGTGTCTATGAAATCTGCTTTTGACCAGCAGCTACTTAAGCTATTCCATGGCTCTACATTGGGTGGCCACTGAGGTATACTTCGTACCTACAGATGCTTACTCATTACTATTGGCATGGAATGAAACATATGGTCAAGTAATATGTTGCAGCTTGTTCTACCTGTCAACACCAGAAATACTCAACTCAATCACCAGCAGGTCTGTTATAGCCCCTGTCTGTACCAGAGAAAATATGGGATGAAATCACCATGGATTTCATAACTGAACTTCCCAAGTCCAGTGGCAAAGGATCGTCTCAGTAAGTACTCCCACTTTGTTGCCCTTCCCCAGCCTTACATAGCAGCCATGGTTGCCCAGGCCTATGTTCAAGAGGTTGCAAAACTGCATGGCACACCTACCAGCATCATTACAGATTGTAATCCCTTATTTATGAGCAGATTCTTGGAAGCTTTTTTCAAGGCCCAAGTGGTGGAGCTTGACCATTCAACAAGGTATCACCCACAGATGGATGGGCAGTCTGAGGTTATCATCTAGAAACCTATCTCTGGTGCTTTGTTGGAGAACATCCCAAGCAATGGCTTCACTGGTTACCTTGGGCTGAGTACTTGTATAATACTTTGTACCACGTAGCCCGCGGGGACAACTACCTTCAATGCTGTGTATGGGCGTGATCCACCAGCTATTATACCTTATGAGAAAGACTCAACTGCAGTAGCAGAAGTTGACAGTCAGCTAACATCTTGGGATGACATAACTCAGGTCACTTAAGCTTCACCTACATAAGGCCAGACAGCAAATGAAATCAGTCTATGATCGGGGGCACAGAGATGTAGAGTATGAGGTGGGTGAAATTATGTACATCAAACTCCCGCCTTACTGTCAGAGGGTCTGGCATAAGCTTTCTCCTCATTGTTTTGGGCCTTTCAGGGTGATTGAGAGGGTGGAGAAGGTGGCTTACCACTTGGAGTTACCCCCGGAGACAAAGCTACATCCTGTTTTTCATGTCTTCTTACTGAAGCCATATGTGCCTAACACAGCTATTTCCAGTCAGCAATTGCCCCAGCTCAGTGATGATGGGAAACTCATTGTGGAGTCCATGGTTATCACAGATTTGAGGTGGGTCAGATCAGGAAGGAAAATCACCAAGTAGGCCCTGGTTGTCTGGAGTAACTTACCTAAGGAGGATGCTACGTGGGAAGATTATGCCAAATTACAACAGCAATATCCTCACATGAACATTGAGGACAAGGTCCATCTCAAGGGGTGGGAACTGATAAGACCCACAACAGCCCTGTGACTACAGCCCAGGCCCATGACTCCTCAAGAGCAGCAGCCCAGGTGCAAGCCCAGTTGGCCAGCCACAAGGAAACCACATGTTACATGCCTCCTCTTAGATATGTCTACATGAGGAAACATCAGTACTAGTTTGTTAGAGACCATGTGAATTCAATTGTAAGAAGCTATAAGTATCTCTCCCTACCTCTCGAGAGATCAGTTAAGATCTGAGATTTCCCTCCATTCCCTATTCTCTTCTTCTCTTTCCTATTTCCTCTTTGGATTGTATCCATTTTAGGAGGTTGAACTCCCTTGAAGCTCAGATTCACCAACAGTGGAATGGGTTTTATCTGAGTGGGACCAGGTTCTGACTTGATCCTTGATGTGACGTTAACACTTCCGAGTTTGTATTGCACTCTTTTTGATGTACTGCGAGACAAAGAAGCAATGGTAGCAGTGATGTTTGTTCACAATGAGGAGATGATGTTATATTTTTTGTGCAGATGAATTAGAAATGGCGAGTAGCATTTTTTTTCGCACTGCAGGGTGGTTAGAAGACTACAGGCAAAGTTGTTTGATATCTTTGGGATTCAATGGTGTTTCCCAGAGATGATGTTGGAGCCTTGGAGGCCAAAGGGCTGGTACATTCCTGGGCTTAGAAGAAAAGGAAATGTGATTTGGGGAATAATGCCTTTGGATTTAGTATGGACAGTGTGGCTGGAAAGTGATATGATGAGATTATGAAGGCTCTTTTTGAATGATGTGGAAAGCCATATGATGAGATTATCAAGGCTCTTTGGGGCATACTCTACTCATGAGTTGTAGTGCATAACTTGTTTAGAAACAGACCTTACATATCTCTTTTTTTTTTGTTTATGATACTCTTTTTGTAATTACCAAGGAGCAAGCTGAAGTATAGGCTTTTATTTGGCACGGCTCCTTTTTGTGTTTGGATGCTTTGGTTGTATTTGCGTTATCGTATTTTATCCTATTATATTAATATATTACTTTACCTTTCCTCAAAAAACTCTACTCCTAAATTGGACAAAAAATTCTACTCCTATTAGGTCCATATCTAGTCCACCCCTCTGAAGACCCTGAATAACTGGGACCAACAGTAGGTAATGGGTCAGTCCACCCAAGCCCAACCTGACCCAAAAAATGTAAACTGGTTTTATTGGTTGAAAATATGCAGCTTTTGGTGCTATGTTTACCAGGGACAATGATTTTTGTGCGATGTCATGTTATATGAGTTTATTATGAGCTGACAATGCATTTTATTTTGAAAACTAAAAGAAAATTCATTAAAGAAAAAGAAAGGTGACAAGTTATCACTTGCCTTCCAAGTGCAGAAACACCTATATGAAGGTAAAGAACAGTAAGTCATCCGTGTAGCACAACAAAAACATCCCCACTGTCCAGGTGGAATGATGGTGCCTACTGCAAAGTCCTACCTGGGTAGTGGGGATGTGATGTAGGAAGGGGTAGGCTCCTACTAATTTAAGATCTGGTGGTGGGCTTTGTGGGGTGAAGGGTATCTGGTTGATTAAAGATGAAGAATATAGATGGAAAAGGCAGTAGACAACTTGCTGTCCACCAAAGAATGAGCAAGAAATTAGAAGAGAGAACTCTTGCTGGTGAGAGGGGGAAGAGAAATTTCCGGAAACAACCAGATCTCACTAAACCAAACTTTATTTCATCAAATCAACTCTCCTTGAACTCCAATTACAATGACTCTATTTACAGCCTCAACTTATTGCATTGGATGTCCCTTTACAGGCTCCTATTTGGATAGGAAACTGACCTAAAACAACTTCTAATTGTTTTAAAACTAAGACAAATCCACAAGGACACTTAAATGAGGAATTTAACTCCTAAAAAACTCTAATAACACTTTACTAGTTCACTAAAGTTCACTTAATTTGAAACATCAGAAATTACTCAAAATAGTAATCCATGAGTTTACCAAAAAATAGTAATTACAAGAATTACCATAAATAATAAGTCTGGAAGTTACCATAAAACAGAACCATGTTCTTAAGACACCAACAACTAGAAAATAAATAGAAAAAACCGAAGTAGTACCACTATTCTATAACCCAAAATTGGCATAGGAATTGGAAAATTGGTTTGTTCCCCCATGAATTCTTTCCTTGCTCCTGCACCTGTATTAGGATGTGTAATTTTGTGTTATCCATGCATAACCCAAGTGCTCCCTCCGAAATCCTAATGGTTTTTAGAAACCATCTTTCCCAAAACATTTTTGGTTCAGATGCATGTGATTTATTATTTTAGTATTGATAATGGTTTTCTTTTCTTTCTTTTGCGGGTAGTGGAACTTCTTATTGCTACATCCTAATTAATCGATTGTGATAAGCAATATATTTCAATCATTTATTTTTCTGATATTAACATTTCCATCACTTTGAATACCACAGTTTTCATTGGATATCATTTTCTTTCATCTGGGATGAAGTTCTTATTTGAATGAGAACATCTCCTCTCATCTTTTTTGTCCTTGATGCAGAACGGATTTGAGACTAAACCAACCGAGATATGCGACGCTCCCCAACATAATGAAAGCAAAGTCAAAGGTTATTAAGAAGGTTACTTCCAAGGAGCTGAATGTGGAAATTAAGTCTGATTTGGAGGTAGTTGAAGTTCATGAGCCCCCTAAGAGGAAAGCAGGGGTGATGGTTTCCTCTGTGGATGAACTCATTGACAAGCTTAAAAATGAAGCTCATGTCATCTAATCATTGTTTTTATTCCAAATGTATCTAATCCATCCGTTAACATCTCAAATGATAATCGTTCAGCCATTGCTTTTTGTTTTCATTTTGCATTTGCTTGTCCGATTAAAGATACTACTGCAAGACATATATCTACATACATCTGCTTCTTGTATGCATGTGTTTTGGATACAGTAGTTCCTTCTGGTGTGTTTCTCTGGAACCTTCTGTAAGGGGGATCAAGACCACTGAGCTTCTAGCAGTTTGATTTATTTTAACCCAATTGGAATCAGTTAGGTCAAGATATTGGTGCAGGAAATGCCAGTATGTTGATCCCAGTGTCAGATTATTGAAATTTCAAATAAATATCAAGCCTTCTATTGTTTTCTGGATTAAGGAGTAAAATTGCTGCAGTTCTATCTGCAGACTGAGATGACCCATTTAGTTTGGTACAAGCCTTTGCTTTCCCTGTGGGGGATTGACTAGTTTCATTGACAGTGGCTGCCAATGGAAGAAAAATTAAGATGTTTTGAAACCCAAGAAGCTATACATTAGGCCTGATTGATTGTTCTGATTCCTGGACTGAGCATGGAAATTATATTGAATTGGAAAGTCAAATCACAATCGATCAAACCAATTTAATCATCGAAACGAGGAAGTTAACCTTGCTGATAGTGAAATTAGGAAGTTGAAATAGCCAGCCAGCCAGCCAGCCAAAACAAACCTCCGATTTGGACTTTACTACAGTGCAAGATATCACTAAACCATTTGAGTTAAGCTGACAGCTGATAAAATATTAAAATGTTGAAAAAGATGCATCAAATGATTCAAATCAAGCATAGCTTGTAAGTGCTATCATGGACCAAAATGATCCATTAGAATATTAGATGGCATGTTTCTTGTCATCTATATGACGTAAAGAATGTTTAGCTGGGACCCACAAATTCTCTTTCTTTCTTAATCATCTCAACGCCACGTATTCTCATATCTATCAGCACCCTGTAGATGACCATTAATCTATATTTGTATGTTTATCTATATCAGTCCATAGAGACTAGAGAGTGATCCGCTTTACAGTTTACACAGCGCATACAAATTACAAAAATATACGAGGGCCGTTGAGACTTGAGACTGCAACTGCCAAAACGACCAAGTAAAAGAAAAAACAATAATATATAATAATAAAACAAAGTCCAGCCACCAAAAGTCAAGCCCAAAATCCCAAATCCCACAACCCTCTCTCTTTTCCAAGTTCTCAGTTCCAAGTTGTGCGATGCAGTTTTATTTGGTGGTCGGCTTTCAAAGTGGGGCCCCGATTCCCTTTTTCCGATAATTTTTTTTTTCTTTTGGTAATGGTGGGTCCCTTATTAGAATACGTTGAAAGCAATGGACCAATTAGACGTACCATCACACCTTTTATTTTATGGCCATATGACTTGGTGGGAGGGATGGAAGAGAAACATGTGGCGTGCTCCTTTGGTGGCCTCCCATGTCAATCCATCCCCCACTTCTCTCCTCTCAGATCCATTCCATTACATCCCAAGTCGTTTACAAATTACAGTATGCAACCATAATAGGATTGTCAGTGGGTCGGGTGAAGTGGTAGACCCGCACTTAACTATCGGGCTAGGGTTAGATCTTATCGGTTTTTGGGATCGGGTTCCAGCTGGTATTGCAGCATTAAAATCTTGGGGTTTTTACAGTTCAGTCCACCCTTAGGGTGGAGCTAGGATTTCTAGGGGTGGACTGAATCCTACCCGTGGATTGATGCTAAATTCATAGGTAGGATGTGGTTTATAGGTTTGGAGGGTTGAAAATTAGAATTTTAAGGTAGAGTGCTGTCTAAAAATTCTTAAAATAATTTTTGTATATAGGTTTGGGGTTTATCTTTGGCATTAGGGCCACCAATGAAGTAGGAATAAGAAGACTTGTTTTTAAACATTAAAAAAAAATGTGATACAAGAGTTTGGATCTATTGATCACAACACATTAGGTACAATCTATCTATACTATATATAAAAGTGTGGATGCATGGTGAAAGTTTTTTTGTATTAGAATTATCCTCTATTTCTTTATTTGTGAAAGGGTGTAAAAGTTATTTTATTACAGCTTTAGTGGCGCTTTTAATGGCACTAAATGCCCATATTTGTTTATTTATTCCGTCTCTAACCGTAAGGGTTGAAAATGTAATTTCAATTATTATATTTCAACTCATTTAATCCACTCTTATTAAGTCTTATACTTAAGGTATTAACTCCCATTTTCTTTTATTAAATTCTATATTTAAGTTATTTTCACTAATAAATGACACTAATTAGATCTATGCCAATATCTTTAATAATATAAACCCACATGTTTTAAAACTAACTCAAAAATAAAATCATTCATTATCCAAGTAGTGGGATAAGCAATTCAACCATCATCAAATTGATCAATCTATGAAGTCATAGTTAGGTAATAATTTTTTTAAAATAGAAATAAATTTAAAAAATTACAAAAATGTAGAAGAAAATAGGCACATTTATGATATTTTTGTTAATCAAATTAAAAAAAATTATAATAAATAAGAATTATTTTTATTGATAATGAAAATGAAATGCATTATTCAAAACTAACCAAAACTGAAATTATTTTATTATTTGGAAAAAATCAATAGTTCAACTTTTGGGTTAAATTTAACATTTAGTGTCATAAATAAGTAATAAAAATTAATAAAATGTCGAAATATAAAAAATGAAAAAAATACATACATTTTACAAAAAAAAGCAGGATATAATATTATATTAAACAAAATATAAATATGACACATCAAAATTATTTTTATACACAAATAATTTTTATAAGGGAAAATGTACCAATCCTGACCCGTTAACATACCTATCGGTCTAATTAACTGACCCGTCTAATTAGCAGCTGGCAACCATCTTTCATTTATTACACTTACAACACACACAGATGGCTTCAGATATTTTCACCAACTGCCCTTTTCCAACGGAAGAAGCTTTTTAGCAGTTAGCACTTTTTATTGACGAGGGAAGCTCATTCTTTTTGGGGGTAGAATTGTCTTTTCAGTTCTCATAGATCCTGTGTGGAAGGTTTCAAATGCAACCGTAATTTACCCTCTCTGGGCTTCTCGCTTCTGATCGACTGCCAAGTGCCAATGGACAAGGCCGAGGCGCCAGAATTCGATTCAGATTTTTAGGGTTTCTGAAACGCCTTGTTTCTTTCTTCTTGATATTTTTATTCAGATATTTTTTACTTGTTTTGGTTTTCGAATCGCAAGTAATGGATTCATTCCAGGACAGTAGTTGGAATCTTCTCGATTATAGTATAATCGAAGACGGAACATCTACCGATTTCTATTGGAACAATCAGGAGTATGTTTTTCTCAGACTTTTCTTTTTAATCTTGTTCCTTGTCTCATATTATATGTTCTCATTGTAATTTCTGATTACATGCATTTCTTGGATTAAAGTGGTTATCTTAGGTTCCTGGTTTTTGATCTTCAAGTTTTAGGATTTCAATGCAGAAGTGTTTCTGTCAAATATACTTTTGTGTTTGCTGCTGTTTGATTTGAGGACTTGTTCTTCTACTGATCTCCATTTTTGTGCTATTGTGTGGAAAGCAAAGAAGTTCTGGTTGCTGGTACAAATATGTGAACTGAAATTTTGGAACATATAAAAACAATCATAAAAGGATAGGGTTTATGAAATGCGTGAGTTGGAATATAGTTAGGAAAGTTAAAGCTATCTTAGTAATGCAAAATATATCAAGTCTATTCTTCAATGGCATTGGGGGAAGAAGCTAACGACCTGATCTAACTGAATTGTGTTAGCGAGAATTCTAAACTCAAAATGTCTGTAGATTGGTGCTGGTCTGAAAAATCCTCGTCTATAATTACTGCAATTACTTACTCAAGATTGGTGAATGAATTTTTAGAATATGAAAATCAATGGATTATTGATTACTGTTCTCAAACCTCTCTTTGCAGCTGCTGCTTGGATTTTGATGTTTCACCTATCGAGTCCATTCTCCAAGAAAAAGCATGCACAAGAAAGAGGTATGTTTTATAATCTATTTGTTCTAGATCTTTATATGATACCATTTTTTTTTTCATATATTATAATTGAAAACAATAAATCACTGATAAAAAAATGGAAACAATAAATCTTCTCTGAACCTTTCTTTTGAATGGTGGGTAGTTATGTTTGTCAATAAATTCCTTTGTCAATGATCACAAAAAAAAAAATAAATAAACTACAGTGTATAAGAAATAGGAGTGCAATAGTTTTCTCCCTGTAAATATTTCAGAACCCGGTCTAGTTTTATTTTGCTTTATTTTTCTATTTTTTTCTAGGGAATTTTCTGGTTTGGGGCAAGGTTCAAAATATCGATACAGGGCGATATGCCGGTAGGGCGTATAGGCCTGTATCAGTACTGTTTTCTTTGTTTTTATTATTACTTTTTGAATCTGGTTCAGAGGGGCCGGTCTACCCCTGAACCACTCGCCGACCCGAAGCACCCCCTGTAGGGGCATATCGGGAAGGCTCTGATACGATACAAAATTTTGAACCTTGGTTTGGGGAGGGTAGCCTGGGAATATGATCTCAAGTCAGCAGGATCTACATCCACTGACATTACCAGATGAACTAGCTGGCATTTGCTTCTGAACCTGCTCTAGTCGTTAGTTTGTTACATGACTGAACTTAGATATGGCTATGGTCAAGTATCATATATTACATGGGACTTATGGGTACTTTTCGTTGAACCATTCACGTACAGCTTATCTTTCAATATACAACAATATCCCTTGGGGTTCACCTGTTATGAACGGTGTTGTAAGTTAGCAATGGGTATTATCTTGTACTTGTTTCCCTACTCAAAAGCACACTTTGTTTGTGATATTCAGATGAAAATATTGATCCATGCTGAAATTGAAGAACAGACATGATATCAATCATTTCTAGGGATGTTTTAGGATAATGTGAATTTGGTTTAATTTGATTCACTTAAAAAATAGAAAATGGCCATTTTTGTGTTAAATAACCTGTAAATTTTATCTTAAAATAGTACTACATTACCTATTCCTTTGGTAAGTAAGTTGGGATTAAGCCCCAAACTTAGTGCAATGCAGAATCTGAAATAAAAAAAGCTATTTTGGAGATTTTTCTTTTGTCTTTTGGTGGTCAAGTAAATAACCAAACATTTGTATACCTTTAGAATGCCAACTTTGGTTGCTACATTCCAGAATGGGGAGAGAAACTTCCGAATAGTTGTGTAAGGATTTGATGTTTACTTGCTCCATCTTAAAGGTCCTTTCATTCTTTTGGACAATGTTCTGTAAATTAACAAAATCTGAGCAGTTTAGCAGTAAGGCAACTTTGTGATCCATTGATTGCTACCTTGGAAAGTTGCTTTTGTTCACACTTGGATTTTATTTGTTTTTCTTGATGTTTGTGTGGACATTTTGCTTTTGTTTTTTTTTTCATTACCAGATGTTGCTGATGTTAATTTTATGCTTTCTATGATTCTACATTTTCATGAAAATGACTTACTTGGTAATAATATGCAGGGGACGCAATGAGTCATGCAGTGGACCAGGATCCAAAGCTTGTCGTGAGAAAATGCGTAGGGACAGGATGAATGACATGTATGCATCTTATTTTTAATATGGTTCTTCTTCTGAATCCATCCATTAGAGTTTTAGCATTCAGACGTCAAAGCTTAAACATTTTATGTAATAGTGTGAAAAGATATTGCATTTCGTATTTCCAAGATATGGTCCTAGACAGAGGAGAATGGAAGAACATGATTTTATATATTTGACTCTTCCTACTTAGGACAAAGTTGATACAGATGATGATTGATTTCATTTCTCATCAGTATATCTGTATATGTAAACTGTTGTTTGAGCAACTTCCACCCCTTCTCCTTCTGATCATGGTTCTTCCTTATGAATGTAAACTATGCTTAAGATTCCGAGAACAGTATATTTGGTAGGTGCTACCTTTTACTGCTTAGGTTCCATGTGCCTAGAAACATGATGTCACTCTTCCTGAAGAATGAAATGTTAACTCAACTGTATCCTGAACATTCATCTATTTTTTCCTTGGAGGATTGGGGCCATTAGCACAGTTCATTAATTACAACAACAGTCTCATCTTTATGGAGGTCTTCCAAGTTCATCTATCTATTTGAAATCATGGTACCATAAGATGAAAGTTCCGTAATGGAATATCTGTCTGCTTTTCAGGTTTTCAGATTTGACCTCAATTTTGGAGCCTGGGAGACCTGCTAAGACTGACAAATCTGCCATACTTGGTGATGCTATTCGTGTTCTGAACCAGCTAAGAACAGAAGCTCAGGAGCTTAAAGATGCAAATGAGAAGCTTCAGGAAGACATAAAGAACTTAAAGGTAAAAATTTGCACCTCCAGATACTCAACATCATATAGGCTATTGATATCCCGTGTGCTTCAATACATTTGGACAGGTACCATATGCACAACAAGCATTGACTTTATACTATAATAATAATGACAATAAAATGTTATAAAATAATAATAGTTAAAATAATAATAATAGTAGTTGAAATAAAATGTTATAACTTATAAAAACAATGCAATAACAATAAGATATTAAAGTCTTGCACCCTCATTAACAACCAGACATGTGTAACTGGTTGCAGTCTTGTAGAAAAGTGCAAGTAAAACCTAATACTCATAAGATGTGAGAGAACATAAAGGAGTGAAAGTAGGGGTGATCATTTATAGCCCGCTCCAGAAATTTCTGGGCTGGGCCTGGGCCCAATACTTTAGGACCGGATAGCACATATTTATATTTATTATGTATACTTATGTATATGTGTTATTTTATGTTATATTTTAAATTACATATATATATATATATATAAATACTGTATACTATATATAATATTTTATGTTATGTTAATGTATAACCTAAAAATTAAACATATGTTATATGTCTATCAACTTTGTTCTGCTGATACAGTGTTTTAAAAAATAGTTGGAAAATTACTTTTGTGGCTGAGTATTCATAGATACTTTAAAGTATGAAATCTTGGTTATTTTTTTTTTCGATTCTGGATTTTTTTTTTTTTTGGTAAAAAGTCAAGGGATAGTGGCTTTGTAAGGTTTTTGGTTTCCCTTTGTATATCTTCTTGTTGTACAGGGTCTTTTGTCTTTAATGAAATATCTATACCTATCTTTTCTCAAGAAATATTTAAAGTCATAGGCCTGGAACTAGGGGTTATCATCAGCTGGGCCTGGCTGGGCTTAGCACCTAAGGGCTCTAGTTTGGGCCTGGGCCAGCCCTTATTTGAAGTTTATGACTTTTTTTTTCAGCACAAAAAAAAAGACATAGTTTTGAAAAAGATGAAAAGACATTTAGATTTTGAATTTTTTTACTGTAGTTATTGAAATGTCTTAATCATTGATTGTGAGTATTAACCTTATATGATATGATGCTATTAAAAAACTCTGATTTTACTTTTATAGCCTGAACAGAAACTAAGGCAAGCATTGGCACTATATAAATGTTATACTTTATATAATATAAAAATACAGGGTAAAAGACTTTAAACTTCCCTTGATGTTTCTCCTAAATATTAGAACTTCTCTCTTTTCAAAAAGGACTAAGACCTCCCTTGTGGGTGACGTCATCAGACAAAGACCTCCCATCTGTTGACAATCTATCAATATCCATTTGTATGTGACATCACACGTGGCTGATTTTTTTTAAACCCAAATTTGCCCCTTTATGGTTTGGGTTGGTTTGACCTTGAGCAGTGTTGATATTTCCTTGGTCCTTCCTAGGCTCTCCATTCTAGAACAAAACAGGTGCATTTCCAAATATGAAATCCACTGTTTGCTCAAGTGAATGCATATACAAGGTATCTCGATACCCTTCGAAGCTACAACTGCAGAAAGTGGACAAGTTGGCCCCATTTTGGACCACTGCTGCCTGGCCCTTGGCTAATCCTGCAGTGTTGTGGAAGGTTGTATCTACCATGGGCAAACCTTGTCCAACCATGGTTGTAAAGGAATCATAGTTAAAAATGAAAATAAAAATAAAGGAGAAAAATTAATTTGATGATGAGAATCAGCTTATCCGAGGTTACAGAATGTAGTCGTACCATCACTTGCGCTATGGCTGCCAAGTTGTCTGAACTCTGTTTTTGGTGGGCTGAGATAAAAATGTTGTCCAGTGAATGTGAAGTTGTCTATCTCTGTTTTCTGGTGCCACAAAATGCTGTCTGTGTGCAAACAATGAAATCTCAATGTTATGGCTGAACTCAGAGCACACTTCTGCTGGCATCAAAAGCCGTATAAGCTTTGGATTTCTTGTACAGTTTACCTCTATAAATATAGATGAAGATCACTAAAAACCAGTGTTTAGAAAACCAGACCAGACCGGCCGGTTGAACTGTGACATGGGGCCCTGACCGGTTCAGTCATGCCCCAATAACCAGACTTGCTCAAACCCCGCTGAAAACCGTCTGACCGGCCGGTTGAACTGGAAAACAGGTGAACTGGTCCCGGTTTCATGAAACCACCTAGGTTCATACATAAGTGAAATTTTAAAATGTTAACAAGATTTGAACTCAAGACCTCTTATTTTCACAAATTACTTAATTACCAGTAATCCACCTCTTATGCTAATTAATGACTATTTATTATACATATTACATTATTATGCACGCACTTTAAAGAAAATGTAAGTTAAAAGGCTTGAACCCTAGTCATTTGTTTTAAAAATTAAGAAGTTTACCATCTGTCCACCATATTTAACTACATTAAAAGTTGTAAAATATATTATATATAGTATTTATATGACCCGTAGTATATATATGCATATGCCATGTTATCACGGTTTGACCTCTGGTTTGACCGGGGTCAAACCTCTGACACGTGAACCTCTCCCTTCTCCGGTTCTATGCCCGGTCCTGTTCTCTGAACACTGCTAAAAACTACAGTATAAGAACTTGTTTGTATGCATTGGCAGTGAGGTATCAAGTTCCATTATCTGTTCAGGAAGACCAACATCATGTGAAACAAAGATGGATTGAAATTAATAAACAAACAGACCAACGCATGAAAATCAGTGGGACTGTGAGAGGTATAATAACCAAAAACAGATCAACCTAAGAATTAGGATTGTTTTCTGAGAACTGTAAAACATCCAATAACACTAAAATAACTCCTTCTCAAGCTGAGAGAGAGAGAGAGAGAGAGATTTCTTCAATGAAACCAACAAAAAAGTATCTTGAACTCTTATTTCCAAACTTAACGCTTTCAATACATTAAAATATTTGACCTGCTCTTTCCTTGGTACATATTTTCATTGTTACACCAGATTTCAAACCAAAAGGGTTAACCATGCCTAATGGCTTCCAGTCGGTCTCCCTACAGCTACGACTACCAAGACAATTGCTGGTGCTACTGCTACTACTACAACAATGGGTTGTAAACTTCCTAGTTGGGGAAGAAAGACTTAAGCTTAAGCATATTCACCATCTTGAGAGTGTTCTCAAGGAGAAATCAAACACATCTTTCATCTATCTAATCTATCTACAGAGACCAGTAATCTCTTTGTCCAATTCTATGTGCACAAGATCAATCTGCAACTTGATATGAGCTTCTTTTCTGGCTTTTATTTCGATTTCTTCTCTTTGTGAATCCCCCCACAAGTAAATAGGGCGAGAAATTCTGTCTAGCTTAGTGTTATTGGAGAGAGGTGCAGACATGCCATTTCTGAGTTTCCATGCCAGTGTTGTTGCTTGGATGCCATTGCCATGAGAACAAGTTTGTGAGAACACAAACAAGAGTAAAGGAGACCTTTTATGACTCTGTTAGACAACTCTGTCGGTGGAGGTCTTGGTCCATTTTCAAAAGGAGAGGATTTAATATTTATGAGAAACCTCAAGGGATGTTTAAGTCTTTTACCCGGAATTATATATATATATATATAGATGAATGTATTGCGGGCTAGACCAGGCCTGCAAAGAAAACCTAGGTCCAAGCCTGGAGATTTCCTAGGGTCCAACCCCTAGGTGATATGGATGTTTTTGAAGTCAGAGATGCCTGAAGCAATGGCTTTAGGCAAGGTAAGAATATGAAAATCTAAATTCTGAAAGAAATAAAATGTTTGGAAAAATTTATTAGCGCAATTGGTTAGAGCATCTCACAATTAACATGAAGGTTGTAGTGTTGTAGATTCATGTCTTGCATAGGTTAAACTGTTTAAACTGTAAAGATACAAGCCACGACCTTCAAGATGTTAACTTGTCGATTCACACATTATTCAAGGTTAATTCATCAAAACATAACAAGAAGCCATGTGACCAACTGATGGCAGCTCAGTTGGTAAAGTTTCTGGCTAGTTGGAGCAAGTGACTTGGGATCAAATCCTTTTGCCACCAGGGTTGGGATGGAGTGTAGTCCATTAGCCTACCAAAATCATATTTCCTATTCTGAAATGTCTCCATACCACTCTAAGCTACTTCTGGAGATTGGCTGGGAAGCTGCTTATATAATACTTGGGGCTCCTTGGGGAGAGGTACTTCAAAGGCAGTTTGGAAACCTGTAATGTAGAGGCTTGACTGGACATTGGCTTGGAAAGTTAAATACTTATTAAAGGGTGGTAAAGTAACATTTATGAAACAAAGGGTGGTAAGGTAACCCTTGTCAAAAGTGTTATGTGCTAACTCCCAACTTACATGTTATCTCCTTTTCCAATACTGACTAGTATGGTAGCTTTGATGTAGGGCTGTCAATTGGACTGGATTTGGTCCAATCCGGTCCAGTCCAACATTGGTCCATTTACAAATGGACTGGACCAAATCCGGTCCAAACCCCATGCAAACCGGATCCAGTCCAGTCCAATTGAAATGCAAATGGACCGGATTGGACCCAATCCAGTCCAAATTAAATGTTTTCCTCATAAAATGTTTTCCCTACTTAAAAATCAGCATAAAAGGATATGATTTCATTTCACACAAGCAGTTTACTGCGTCATCTGATCTGATTTGAAAGCCATTAACGTCATCTGAAAGCCATTAATAGTCAACATAAAAGGATATGATTTCATTTCACACAAGTAGTTTACTACATCATCTGCCGGTTCAGTTGTGGGTCACTACCATTAACGTCTCAGTAAACCTTCTCATCTCTGTGGCTCTATAGTAATCAATTATCAGGGATGATACCAGAATCTATTGGGAATTGTACTAAATTGGAAGAACTATATCTTACTGAGAACCAGTTAGTTGGAGTTTTGCCTAAGAGCCTAAACAATCTTCAGTTCCTTGCTTACTTGGATGTCAGTTCGAATAGACTTGAGGGCAAGATAAAGTTGGGGGGTTCAGGTAGTTGTAGGAATTTGCAGGAGTTGGTCTTGACTTACAATCAATTTAATGGAGAAATACCATCAGGCTTGGGCAATTGCAGTGGCTTAATATTCTTGGCAGCTCTGGGTAATAAATTAACAGGTCAAATCCCCTCTTCCTTTGGATTACTAACTAAATTGGAGCTACTTTACCTCAATGAGAACTCTTTGTCAGCGGTAATTCCACCAGAGATTGGGACCTGTAGTTCCTTGAAGGAATTACTCTTGCAGAAAAACCAACTCGAAGGCAAAATTCCAAGTGAGTTGGGATCTTTGAGTAAATTAGAGGAACTTGCGTTGTTTACAAACAGATTGACTGGAGAGATTCCAACCCTCAAATATCTCTCTGTCTATCAGAACAATTTGTCTGGGGAATTACCTTTAGAGATTCCAACCCTCAATGTCAGTGATGATGAGGCAGGAAAGGGCCCTAATGCCGCAGAGGCCTTGAGGGCTCAGGTGAATGCTGAAGAAAGAGATGAATAGACTTCAAGTTCAAGTGGGAGCAGTGAGAACAACAGTGAGAGTGGGAGTGGGAGTGGGAGCAGTAGCAGTAGCAGTGACAGTGAAGCGGGTGATGAAGATTCAGTCAATTCTATCTGAAATATCAAAGTAAGGTGGGGTTAACTTTTATTTAAACACCCCAGATAACAGGTCTTAAGATACAACAAAAACAAAAATGTGCTCTGCAATTGGTCAAAGGGAAAAACAGAAAAAACAAGTAAAATGTTCCTCCATGTTAGGGAGCATATTTGTGCAGGGTGCTTTAGTGATTTTTACCTGCGTTTGTATGGTCTCCAAACTCCCATTAATATCTTTTCATGTCTTTTATAACTCTGGCTTGTAGAATTTGACATAGAGCAGTAGTCCACTGCAGCCAATCCCTCATATACCATCACATGGCTGATATCTACTTCCACAGGCTCTCTAATGAGAGCAACCCTTCAGAGCTTTTTTCTATTCTATGTACTTTTCAACACATGAACTTACCTTAGAGATCAAGTGTAAGACATCATATGCATAGACTTCACTTAAAATGAAAGAGTAAAAAGCCCAAATTGAAAAAAAAAATTTAACATCTGAAAGTATAGGCATCAAAGGCCAGAATATAGACAGGAAAACCAATTATTTTAGGCAAAAGAAACTTAAAATCTAATCAGTGATGATATTTTTTTTGTTAGGTATGTTAAAAAACAAATTTATTGTTCATGGTCTAATCAGTGAAGTGGGTTTTTCAATTACATATCCAACCTAATTTATTGTCCTAAAAGAAATAGAAAGCCTAACCCAAATGATCAAAACCTGGTAATCCCAAACAATATTTAAATACATGTACAGGGTCATTAGATAACTGTGAATACAGTTGGACAAATGTTCAAAATATCACAATGTATCAGTGCATATCATACAATATATATCCCTATTTACTAGGAGATAATAGATCTCCATAAATCCCTCTCAACGTAGCTGTCAGTACATACTGAACTGAACAAACAGAAGGAAAAAATAAATAAAAAACATTTCCCTTTGGAAACTCCCGTTTTTCATATCATGAGTGTCTATACAATGAAGCATGCATTTGGCTTTCTAAAACAGAAAAAGAAAATAAAAGAAAAAATCTGAATAAATCTATCATTCTTTTAACTGAATTATGCATTTGGCTAGATTGACTCCCATAGGTACCCATAGTAGCACTGCCAACACGTTTAATGGTGTAGGCCTTGCCACCGCCCGTCCGTTGTGGAAGATTAATGGCTTTGGATAATCCTTTCTCGGGAAGGATGGGGCCTTCCCCTCCACCGGAACAAAGTATACTTCCTGCAAGTGACTGGCTCAAATGTAGGAGAGAGAGAGAGAGAGAGAGAGAGAGAGAGGACATGGCATCAGGCATGGTGAAATAACAAAATCAGGTGATCAAATGAAATACCGCCATCTGCCGGCGAGACTGAGGATGGAGCGATGGAGGCACAGAGGTGCTGAACCCTAGCCTTCGAAAGCTTCCACACGTGATGCTTCAAAGTTCAAATGAAAATGAACATTGAATGGACCATTCGAACTAGTGGCTTTGTCCACTTTCGGTCCATTCTATGAATCGACTATTCATGTTCAGACCGGTCCGCATCCATATCATTTTTAGGACCGTCCAGTCCGTCCATATCACTTCCGATTTGGATGGTGTCCAACCCGAAATCGGTTCATTGACACCCCTACTTTGATGGAAACAAGGATGAAAGATTTCTTATGGCAAGGGTGGAAAGAGGAATTTAAGACACATCTGGTAAACTGGGACAAATTTTGCAGTCCTAGAACAAATGGTGGTTTGGGTGTTAGGAAATTAAAATCTTTTAGTTTGGTCCTCTTGGGCAAGTGGTTTTGGAGATACAATGAGGAACAGTCTCTGGAGACAAATCTGCTTGAAGATGACATGGACTGGGATCTAGGTATCGTAAGCACCTCTTATGGCTGTGCCCTGTGGAAGGGTTTACAGAAACATTACTCGAATTTCACAAGGGGAATCAAATATGAAGTGGGTAATGGAGGTAGGGTGAGACTTTGGATTGATCCTTGGTGTTTTGAGCAGCCATTGGAGTTATTACCCTTAGCTGTTTGGGCTGGCCCAGAACAAGGAGGCTCTCATTGCAGATGTACTCATACATCACAGGGAATCAGGGGCTTGATACCCCACATTTAGGAGAATCTTTAATCATTGGGAGGTGAGTCTTTGGTGGATTTGATGCAGAAGATTTATGCTGTTACACCTGATGGAAACAAGGCAGAAAGGAGGGTTTGGGTTTCGGGATAAAGAGGGTTTTTTTCTCAAGTCAAATCTTTCTGTAACAGGTTGGCTCATACTGGCAGAGGTACCTTCCCTAGCTCTCAAGTCTGGAATACTGTTATACCTACAAAGGTTGCATTTTTAATGTGGACATCAGTCCTAAACAAATGCCTGACAGTGGATAATTAGGTGAAGAGAGGTATGACAGTGAGCAGCACTTTGTGCATCATGTGTAATGAAGACACAGAAACTGTGGATCACTTGTTTCTGCATTGTAAATTGGCTAGGAGGCTGTGGCCTGTGGGTCATGATTTTGGGCATTTTTAGAGAGTGAGTTTGTTTTCCAGAAAATGTGGTGGCATTTTTATGGAGCTAGCATCTGAAAGGCCTCAATAGAAAGGGAAGATTGTGTGGGGAGCAATTCCACTGGTGTTAGTGTGGACCATCTGGACTGTAAGGTATCCTTGTGTCTTTGACAATATCACCAAGGGAGGACTCTTTTGTTGAAATTCTTTGGGGCAGATTTTACTCGAGTGGGGGTGCACAGGACTTTAGGGAAGTTCCTTATAGTGTTTTTTTTGGAGATGGGTATACCTTTTTTTTATGTAATTAACATACAAAAAAAGATACTGCAATATGTACAACATGATTGTATCCCAGCAGTTCCTTTTCAAAAGAGATACTGCTTCTGGAGTGGTAATTAGGGCATACACCATTTTTGAAAAACATGCCCCCAAGTGAATGAAACAAATTGATTCAATGTAAACCAAGAAACACCCTATGCACTAACTTTTAATAGGCTACCTTGTCTTTTCACAAGGATTGTGCCCTTGTCACCCCTTCCCTTTACATGATGTCTGTTTGTCATTCAAGTCCTTCCAAATAAATAAATAAATTAGAAATTACAAAAAGAAAAAGAAAAAAGGTTGGCCCTGGCTCAACATTGATATGGGTATTGGAATCCATAGTAGATATTGATCATCAGTACTGTATGGCATGTATTTGCCAACACTTTGAACTGTTCTAGTGCTTTAGAAAAATGTATTAATCGTATGGAGTCTATTACATGTAAGATGTTGAATGAGTATGAGAAAAGTAATGCCTAAAACCGCACCTTCGGTGTTAATTATTTTAATAATGTAAGGTAAATAATGTAAACTTTCATTCCAATAAGTGTTAATTATTTTAATATTACTTTTAACAGTATAAGATTCTAATGTCTTTTGGGTTAGGGGCAATATAACTTCCACTCGGTATTACTTTTACGTCACTTCCAGGCATTTCTCTGAGAGCTGTTTATTCATTTTCCTTTTTCTCTATATTTGCAGGCAGAGAAAAATGAACTTCGTGAAGAGAAGCTCCTACTGAAGGCAGATAAAGAAAGGATGGAGCAACAGCTCAAAACCATGAGCATTATGCCTACGGGTTTTGTTCCGCCAGTTCCTGCAACATATCAAGCTGGAGCAAATAAATTGATGACCTACCCTAGCTTTGGTGGCTTCCCGATGTGGCAATGGATACCCCCAGCTGTTCTTGACACATCTCAAGACCATGTTCTCAGGCCTCCTGTGGCTTAGTTTTGATTGTTGTTGCTTGCATCATTTACAGACGCTTGGTTATACAAATGTCTGAAACTGCAACCGTTGTTTACTTGTAAATACTTTGTGTTTCATGCTAGTTTGGGTATCTTCAAACTGATAAAAGTGCAAATCCTCAGTGTGATTGACCGATGGTGTCAATCAACTGGTAGCTATTTCTTCAATAAAAGTTTGATCATTTGTCTAACTGTCTCAACGAGTACCAGTTTGCAGAGTTTTCTAGATTGTGCTGTTGGTAGGGGTTTTGGTCTGTAATGACTGTTTATGAATTAAGGTGCTTGGCTTTGCAGCATTTTTTGCTGCTGTTGTTGTATATGAAAGTTGTCACATCAGCATCGTAGAACTGTAGAAGTTTGTCTTGAATTTCACACTAGGGGACGGTGTTGTTTGAATGTCATCTGGGGTTTACTGAATTACTGTTTATGTTGCCGATTGATTTGGTGCTTCGTACTGCACTGATGAATGGAGCATGGTACTTCCTGGGTTTTAAGTCCTTGCAGTCGTCCCCGTCCCCTAAAATCTCGATTAATCAAAGTATTATTTTGAAATCTCTCGTTCCATCTGTCTTCCTAAATCCAAATGCCCAGGACGAATGATCCAATCTCAGATTTATTGGATTATCTAATGTCAAACATAGGTGACACTTTTGAATGCTTTTCTTGCGATGCTTGGTAGATGAGTGGACTACATCATGCCAAAGACATAATTTATTGAATTCACATCTGCTGTGGTCATGGTTGCAGCCCTTTCTTGCACCCACCCAATAAAATATGAAAAAAAAAAATAAAGGTAAGTTGAATTTGAAAACAAGAGGGGATCAGCCGGGGCGTTCAGTTGTATGTTTTGTTGGCAGTTGGCAAGAAAATACGACGGCCACGGTGAAGGCAGACGTGAGGGACCTTTGAAGTTTGTGCTGACATTTTAAGTCATGATTTTAATGAGAAATTGGATTTTCCTACTAGTGGCTCTTGATCTCGTCTAACTTTTCTCTGTCAAGAGTTTCTTTTTGTTAACTTGTGCATATTCTTTTGTAATTTTTTTGAGTTTTTTTTTTTTTTGCCCCAATGCCCTCGTAAAGATGGTTGATTCTTTCAACATTTTACTGAAAGTTGGTTAAAACGATTATGGAACCATCCGGTTTAATTCTCATTGTAATTGCAAATAAAGGCTCTTTGCCTCAACCCATGAATTGTAGATTTCATGAATCGCACGACAGGATTTGATTCACGTTAATTTATATAAATTGTCTTTTGGGGTACGCTTGTATACTCATGTGCAACTGCTTCTGTTATATTGTTCATTCAAGTTCTACAACTAATGTTATTTTCATGCTACCAACAATTTGTAGCGATGGAATGGGTGGGAGTGAGACTTCAGAGAGGGAGATAAAGAAACTTAGAATGGAAGGTGATGGTGCGCAATTCGGCTGGTCTTAGTTGTCAATGACCTTGCCTCTGAACGGAATTGCAGGGAACCTGAAACGAAGAAGATGAGGAAGCTCCAGGGGGAACCCGGTGTAAAGGCTCCGAAGCTCAAGTTAGAATCCTTCAAAGGCAAGATAAAGCCAGATAGCGCAAAGTTTGCATACCTTGTTCTTGGGGGTAGGGGGCCTTTTATAGCCACCTCGTGCACTCACTCCTAAGCTTCTGTTAGGTCGGGTACGGTTACCTCTGGTCTTCTGCCAGTTCGGGTGTCATCCCCGCTGCTGGTCAGAACCGCCACTGCTTCCTTTTGTCGGAGCCGTCTCTGCGACTGGCGATGATGGTGGCAGGTGGCGGTGGTAGGTGACCGTTGAAGCGCGGCTGTCAAGTGTCAGATCCCAAGTCAGTCAGATGCGCCGCCCCTTGGATACGGACCTCCTCGGTGTCAGGTATGGTACGTTTGTTCAGTTCGGTGTCTCGGAGGCGAAGTGCTGGAGTGGTGAACGAGGTGAAGTCTTGAGTTCGGATAGGGGAGTGTCCCGAACTGCCATGAGGTGGGCCAGTTCGGGTCACTGCTTTGTGTGGCTCGGGGCCCAAGGGAGAGTTCGGGCTCCTCGTAGGGAGTTCGAGTTCTTAGTAGGGAGGTCGGGCTCCTTGTAGGGAGTTCGGACTCCTCGAAGGGAGTTCGGACTCCTCGAAGGGAGATCGGACTACTGGTTTTTTCCCTTTGGTGCTTGTGCCCTGGGTACGCTGTTTTAAGTGTCGAACTATTCGTTTTTTCCACGTGGAGTGATTGCGAGGTCGGGCCAAATCTTCCTTCATCAAAAGGGATGAAGGGTTTTTGGGAGTCATAATCATTACTACAATTTGAGTAGGCTGGTTAGAGAAAGGTAGCCAAAGACTGGTACAATTTGAGTTGAAAGTGAGAGTTGAGAGGTGTTCGTGAGAATGACTATGAAATCGAACAATAGGAACGAGGCTTAGCTCAAAGTAATTAATAATTAATAATAATGAAAGAGTAAGTGTATATGGACAAACCAAATAGGGTGGAATTAATTGTATTGCAAAGAGCATGGATACCACTTCAGTCTTCAATTAGCTTGAGGAAGTGGAGTAGAGGAGTATCCAATTAATGACATAGTGGATAAGATGTCCAAGGGCAATGTGGGTGCAGGATGACTTACATTCCAATCATGTTGATAGGGAGATAACAAAAAGTATCTATTTTCCTACCAAAACTACCAAAGTAGAATAATATATCAACAAAGTTTTTGCAAGAAAAACAGAGCCAAGTAGTCAAATGATTGGATAATTACAATACTGACCAATTTGGAGAAAAAGATACAACTAATGTGATCACTCACTCTTTACCATTTTTTCCCCTTCTTTCTATTGTTTAGTTTAATATCCCCCAAGCTCCCTTTTATAGCTGATTATTGTGGATGCTTTAGTTGGAAATGAATACAGTCGCAGACAGCAGCAGTAATGGGCGTTAGATTCAGTGTTCCTATCTTATCTTATCTACATTCAGTGTTCATATCTTATCTCTTAGCTAGATTCAATGTTCCTATTAATTAGGCAGTAGCATTATTATTTCCTAGGTCTTTTAGAAAGTTTCCTTTTAGAAAGTTTTCTAATGTTTTTGGAAAGCCTCTTTTTAGAAAGCCTCTTAATGTTTTTTAGAAAGTTCTTTTTAAGAAAGTTTCTTTAAGAAGGACTCTTGTAATTCCTATTTAAGGAGCAGATGTTATTCAATAAATCCATCCAGAATTTCAGTCAAGAAAGAATAGAGGAGAGTTGGTGATCTCTTTAATAAATCACCATTAAGGCGCTAAAGATAGGTTCTTCGAAAAAAGGGAGAAACAAGGGAAAACAAGAAGTTTTCCCCATTAACCAACCTGTGACGAGATCCTATTCATGGGCCCTTAACAATTTGGTATTAGAGCAAGGCGTCATGGGTGACTTTGAGCAATTGAAGACTAGGGTTCATGATCTGGAGCACAAACTCGTGGAAAACAGCAAGGAGGTGTGCGAGATCAAGGACGATGTCTGAGAATTGAGGCGCTTGATGGAGTTATATTTTTCTAGCAAGGAAAAGAGTTCAGAAGGGGCTGCAACCACAGACGGCCGCCGACCAGACATGGCAGAATCGTCCGACGAGCAGCAGGTCATTGCCCAGGGAACCGCGATCGTTCCCAAATACAGCAGGCTGTAATTTCCTTCCTATAATGGAACTGGAGATCCTTTGGGATGGCTGTACAGATGTGATCAGTTCTTCCACAACCAACTAACAAAGGACAGGACAAGGTAGGCTTAGCCGCATTCCACATGATAGAGGAGGCGCAACTCTGGTTTTATATATTGGAGCAAGAAGAACCTGGGCTCAGTTGGACCCAATTCAAATCCTACTGCCTTCTCAGATTCAGGCCCCCATTAACAAGCAATCCATTAGGCAAACTAATCAACCTCAAACAGACTGGAACTGTGGCTGAGTATCAGTGCTAGTTTCAGACCCTCCTTACAAGAGCATCTTCAGTACGACCAGACCAACAGGTTGACATGTTCACCGTGGGGTTAGCGGAAACTTTGAGGGTGAATGTGGAGATGCAAAATCCCCCCAATCTGGTTACTGCTATGAATTTGGCTCGCACTTTTGAATGCAAATTGCAACTCAACCGCAGAAGTATCAGTATAGGGCAGCCTCAAACAACATGGGCAGCCCCGAAACCACTCGGAATGGCTCCATCTTCAGCAGTCAGCCAAGAATAGAAACCACAGATGAGCAACAATTCCAGATTGGCATCCAGTGTGGAAAGCAGCGTTGTTGCACCCCCTATTAAGCGCTTGTCTAGGGCTGAGATGGCGGAATGCAGGGCGAGGGGACAGTGTTTTAATTGTCACGAACTTTTCTGCCTCCTAGTGGAACAAGAGGAAGATGAGGATGAACCCTCTTCATTAGAACCCGATCCAGGACGGCAAAATCATTCCACCTATCATGGATTCCTTTGACTGTGTTTCAAGACACCTATCCTGAATTTGAGCTTGAGGACAAGCTCTTAGTCCAAGAGGGGAGTAATATTGTGGATGCTTTAGTTGGAAAGGAATACAACCGCAGACAACAGCAGTAATGGGTGTTAGATTTAGTGTTCCTATCTTATCTTATCTAGATTCAGTGTTCMTATCTTATYTCTTAGCTAGATTCAGTGTTCCTATTAATTAGGCAGTAGCATTATTATTTCCTAGGTCTTTTAGAAAGTTTCTTAATGTTTCTTTTAGAAAGTTTCCTTTTAGAAAGTTTCCTAATGYTTTTAGAAAGTCTCTTTTTAGAAAGTCTCTTAATGTTTTTTAGAAAGTTTTCTTAAGAAGGATTCTTGTAATTCCTATTTAAGGAGTAGATGTTATTCAATAAATCCATCTAGAATTTCAGTCAAGAAAAATAGAGGAGAGTTGGTGATCTCTTTAACAAATCACCATTAAGGCGCTAAAGATAGGTTCATCGAAAAAAGGGAGAAACAAGGGAAAACAAAAAGTTTTCCCCGTTAACCGACTTGTGACGAGATCCTATTCGCGGGCCCTTAACACTGACATTCCAAAATGTATGTCAGTTTTCCTTTGTAGAACATTTATTTTCCCATCAATTTATAGGTGCCTAGGCTATTAAATGGTCAAATTTGTATAAGGTCTGAACTGGTTCAAAACTAATACTTTTTCTTATATCACCAAAATCTCATTCAATGGATATAAAAGAAGGAGCCTAAACCCCAATTCTAGTGGATGCCTATAAGTTACAATAAAAGATGTTAAATCATTTTACAAAAGATAACAAAATTTATATCTATGCACATCTTTTACCATTATAATTCAAAAGCATGTTACTCTAAAGGAAGGAAAA